AAGCCCCTAAACCCTAAATGAGAAAATCCCGCTAGGATCCTTCATGGGATCCATGCATAGCTCCAGGGGGAACCCCAGCATGGGAGTACAGCTAATCTATTGCGAGCTTCTGGGGCTTTGAGATTATCTAGGGGAGTTGGTTTAGCGTGTAAGCTTTAGGGTTTTAGGGTTTGGAGTTTGGGATTTTCAGTACACTGGGCTGGGACTTTTGGACCTTCTAATGTTGGATGGCCAATTCTCGAAATGGGGCCGCCCGTGTCCAGAAAGAATTAGATCCTCCACCAGGTAAAAGCTCATAGTCTTCAGAAATTATTCTTCAACCCTGAAGCACCCCAAACCCTAAACCCTAAACCCTAAACCCCACCTAGAGCAGCGGCCGAGACCCGGAAAAATGTCAAGTACAAGAGCCCTTTCTTTCTGGGTACCTGGGTAACTCTTAAAAGACCCCAAACTCGAAACCATATACCCAAGACCCTAAGCTGTAAAACCTGTACCCTAAACCACAGAGTGCTGCGAGGAGGACCAGGACCAAGGTTCTGTGACGAAAACAGGATCACAGCGAAGTCGACTGACGAGCAGGAATTCGAACAAGCACCACACTCCTCCGGGCTCTTGGGTAGCGGGGCATTGCGGTTCTAGGGCTTTAGGGGTTGGTTAGGGGTGCAGGGCGTAGAGGTTTAGGACTTTAGGGTTTGGGGCAGGAACTCAGCAGGCAGCACGCTTCTCTGAGGCACATGGGCTTTACTCGAGAAACGTATACCCTTCAAAACCCTAAAGGGATGCAGGGACACACATTTTCTGCCTGTGTTTCGACATAGATTTCTCTAGAATCATTGAGTTCAACATGACGAGGTGAAACTCTTCGTGTTGCATCCGAGGGCGGCAAAGACACACAAGCACATCGAAAACCAACTGCAGCCTGAAGAACTGCACATGGTTTCACCCTGCGGACGAGGTGCGTGTGAGAGGCTCAATGCGGTCATCCAGCACCATGACCACTCCATTGACGCCGGACTGGAGTACTCGCGCGAAGGCGCTATCCATGACACTCATACCAATCTCGTTGGCAAGATCCTACCTGAGCATCCAAACACCCCTTTCCGCTCTCGCCAAACAATCCGTACTTCCGGATTTCAAGCCTGACCAAAGCAAGGACGATATAGAGAACTGCGGTTTTCTACGGTAGAAATTTCCGGAACAAAAAATCAAGTTCCTTATGGCAAACTGAAGAAAACGAATGCGGGGAACCCCTATTCTAGAAAGAGCCTACCCCTAACCCCCTTCGCGTACCAGGCACTGGTTGTTTGCAAAGGAACAGATCCAGTAGGAAGCTTCTGGTGACTTGGCAAAGGCGGAGTGGTGGCGGATGCACTTCACGAAATGATGGAAGCTGGTGCCCCAACCTTTTTTGTTCAATTAACCGGCCAAAGGGGCATGTCTCATAGTCCCCTTTGTTAAAACTGCTTCCAGCATGCTGCTTGGGTACTATCCGGAAAAAATGCATTTCAATGTTTTTGCAAGAAGAAAGCATGTTCTGCTACCGGGGCCGCATTGAAGGTCCAGGGTTTGGGAGTCCAAGATCCGAAGATAGAAAGACGATTCCCGACATTCTGTTTGAGAGATCCTAAACCCAAACCCTAAAGCCAATAGTAGACATTCTTTTTGAGTGAAGCCACAGCAGCTGCGGGGAAACACCCTGAATCTTAAACCCTAAA